TTTAACCTCTGGTTTAAATGCTTTAAACCTCTGGTTTAAATCCTTTAAACCTCTGGTTTAAATGCTTTAAACCTCTGGTTTAAATCCTTTAAACCTCTGGTTTAAATGCTTTAAACCTCTGGTTTAAATGCTTTAAACCTCTGGTTTAAATCCTTTAAACCTCTGGTTTAAATGCTTTAAACCTCTGGTTTAAAGCCTTTCCTATGATAAGGGGGCTTGTTTTGATGGTCCTGATGTCCTGATCAACCATTCCTTGGGATCATAATATCCTCATCTTAAGACACATCTTTTTCTCAGGAATCCATTTATATGCTTTGTGCCTTTTTTGTAATTTCATGGTAAGATAAAAGTTTTTCTCTTGTTAATGTTGATTAATCCATCTGAGGATTTTTTTATTGATAAAATGGAAACATGGTCAATAGTTGACCTTGATCACAGATGTAAATATTCTATCCACAATTAGCCCGTAGTTGTCCCTCGAGAGCAGCTGAAGGAATCAAGGTTGTCAAGTCAAGTGGAGGATCACAGATGGCCTCTGTGACAGGCTTGCTGGAGTCGTGACAGGATTGAGACGCGGAGAAACAACACCGAAGGATACATACTTATTTACCTGGTCGATATAGGATAACTTCAAAATTCACGATGGACTCAGGCCGGTCGAAGAAACGGAAGTCGATGGCAAACGGACCCGACCAGACGGCCTCCCAGACCCGCGTCAGAGTCGAGGAGAACGGCAGTACCAAGGACGAGCCTGTGGATGATGCCCTGCTTGCCATCCCTCTGGATGCTCATGGATGTAAGTAATTATTCAGGGAAAAGCTTTCAGCTGGACAGGCCGTTGGACTGATACTTTTTGCCCCTCCCAACAGCTCTGGAATACGGCTCCAACTGTGCCCGGCCTACGTTGAGTCCAATCAACCCCCAAAACACTGCGATCAGGAAGTCCCTTCACTCAATCGAGTAGCTTGATCGGCATAGAGTCGTCCTAGATTATTAGAAACATATTGATGTGGGGTGTCCGCAGTTTTTCAACAGATCGATATCAAGGAGCAATCCCAGAGCAATGTCCCTCGGCTCCAAATCTTCGGAGTCACCGAAGCAGGCCACTCAGTCCTTGTCCACATCCAAGACTTCTTGCCTTAATTCTGGGTCCCAGCTCCGAAAGGGTTCCAGAACACTGACTGTCGGGAATTGCTGACCACATTAAACGGACGCCCGTTTAACTCCTGCTCTCGATAATCGGCTTTCTCATTGTCCTCCGAAATCCTCCTTCATTCTCCAGTCCGCCCTCTCGCTCGGTGTCAAGCCTGTCCATAGTCTCTCAGTGGCTTACAAGACCTCCCTGTGGGGATACACTGGGGACACCCAGTCTCCGTTCTTGAAGATCGTCCTGACAGACTTCAAACACCTTGGTCGGGTCAAAAATAAGTCAACTTTTCTTATCAATTTTGTTTCTTGCCCCAGTCAGCTCCATCTTCTCATTCCTCAAACTGTTCTTTTCCAGATGCTTTCGAAAGAGGAGAAGTCAACTTCCGCGAGATGTTTACGGCCTGTACCACCTTCGATAGCAATATTGCATACACCCTACGCTTCATGATTGACAAGAAGGTAGCTGGAGATGGGCCATTTATCTCACCCACCAATCCATATTGATCGATCTTCCTTTTCAGGTCACGGGTATGAACTGGCTGGAGGTTCCGCCGGGCTCGTACAGGCTTCGAGCGGAGCTCGAGAAGGCGTCAAATTGTCAAATCAAACTAGAAACCTCGTACATCCCCACCAATCTGCTCATTCTGTCCGACCTTGTCCAGGTGAAGCTGACTCATGACCCACCGGAACCTCGTTGTTTTTAGAGCCGAGACACTGATTTCACATGCTCCTGAGGGCGAATGGTCCAAGATGGCGCCCTTCAGAGTGCTCAGCTACAATATTGAGTGTTCAGGATGGAAGGGAGTCTTCCCAGATGCCCGACTAGACCCGGTGATCCAGATTGCCAATATGGTCACCGCCCATGGTCTGTTGACCACGCCACATTTGTACTGGCTGGGTGTGGATACTTTCATGGAAGTGTCCAGTCGGGATGAAGTCTTGGGCCAAGGCAGTTGAGCCGCCCTCCACCTTGACGAAACGCTTTTACATAAATAAATACCTAACCTGGGGGCAATAGGGACGAAATACAGTATCAGGATGTCAATGGTCAAATCTCTCAAGTCCCACAAGGACCTCCAAGGCTTCATCGACCGATTCGATAACTCCTTATTCGACTGTGACGGGGTGATCTGGCACGGGGAAGAGCTCATCAAAGGAGTCCGCACAGTCTTGGAACTCGTACGCATATCGGACAAGAAACTCATCTTCGTCACCAATAATGCAACCAAGTTAAACATCCTCCCCTCTCTCTCTCGACTCTCTTTCGCTCCCACTTTTCGAGTCAAATCAGGTTTTTGCCGCATTGAAAAATTGATGTCTGTTTTTCCATTTTCTTTTTCTTTGTCTTGCTATCCAATGCAGGATGAAATCTTTGGCTCAGCTTATGCAACTGCACTGTGCCTCAAACGGATCTTGAAATTTCCTGACAACAAGAAAGTATATGTGATTGGCGAGAACACTGTCAGTTGACAAGAACCGAGTGGTCACGAACAAACGTTTTATGAATGAAAAATGATCTCGGGTCTTCGCTGAGTCGAATTCTTTTTGGATCACTTTTCTATAGGACCCAGCCAATAACGAGTTCATAGACCACATGGATTTTTCCTCCATCCAGACTGACAAGGACGTAGGTGCTGTGATGTGTGGATTTGACATGCACATCAAGCAAGATATCCCAATTATCAGATAACTTTATCATCTCCTCATGCTGTGTGTTTTGTTTGATTATTAGCTATAAAAAATGGCGAAGGCTCATCGGTATCTGCGTGAAAATCTTGACTGTCATTTCATCTTGACAAACGATGATCCCGTAAGTAACCCACTGTCAGATTTTTCTCAACGCCAACTCCATTTGAAAAAAACTTATCAAAAGAAGAGCCGACTCACAAAATGAGTCTATCCCCTCCCTCTGGCCTGCCTGATAGACATAAGCTTGAGCCATCTAGGAGTTGTATGATTGGTGATCGGTTGGATACTGATATTGCCTTTGGGATCAATGGTAGTCTTTTGACCCTCTTGGTCCTCACTGGCGTCATCACAAGGGCTGATATCTCCCAACCTCAAGCCAAGTGACTTTGCAGTCTTGTCCCCATGATCTTCCATCAGTTGGGTTTCCCTTTTTTTACCAAACTTCATTTTGATCGTATCATTCAAGTCAGGATCTATTTTGGATGTTTGGATGTTTGTATTGGAAGAGTCGCAACTGCTGTTTGTATATACATCTCAGCTGTCTGTATCCTTCAAAGAAAACGATCTGATTCAACATTTTTTTCTGGAAAAGATAACTCAAACAGCACATTTAAGACCAAAAGAAAACTACAAGTCTATTGATTGTTGAAAAAAAATGAAATCGATTTAAGCTTTCTCGGAGTACTAGAATGGACGGTGTTACACAGAGAGCAAAAGAGAAATCTGAAGGGAGTGCCAGTTTCAAGGCAAAAAGAAAAGATCATGATTGTTTTCCTTGGTCCATTCACTTGAGGAACAATGGAAATAGGAAAACAAATCAGTAGGATTCAGAGATAACAAGGCAAGGACGGGTCGGGTAGATCCACGGGCCGGCCCGACCCACCTTTGCTCTTAGGACTCCCGTGCTCGGCCTTCGCGACCTCGACTCCCAGTGTTTCCTGGTTTGAAGCTTTAAGATCCTGTTTACCCAAGGATGTGAAGGGGATTTCCACCAAGGAAATGTGGTCACTAATATCTGATAATCTGATGATGTCCACAACGTATTTGTAAGTTTTTTTTTTCACTATGTGCATACACTAAATTCCAATTTTGGAGTATCAATGCTTCTACTAAAGCCATTTGAATTCAAAAAAGAGCCAAAAAAAGTCATCCAAGCCACTAGTTATCTGTAAATTACTTTTTGCACACAAAAATATGACAACTTGCACACTTGTAATACCCAGATTTTTTGCTTTTCAATAATTGATTGTATGCTCATATCATTTTTTTTAGAAGTTGTGACATCACTTCCAGACATTTATAAAGATAAGTGATACTTTTTTGATATTTCTTCTTCAGTCAAATCTTTTAAAACTGTATGGTTTAAATGCTTTAAACCCTCTGGTTTAAATGCTTTAAACCCTCTGGTTTAAATGCTTTAAACCCTCTGGTTTAAATGCTTTAAACCCTCTGGTTTAAATGCTTTAAACCCTCTGGTTTAAATGCTTTAAACCCTCTGGTTTAAATGCTTTAAACCCTCTGGTTTAAATGCTTTAAACCCTCTGGTTTAAATGCTTTAAACCCTCTGGTTTAAATGCTTTAAACCCTCTGGTTTAAATGCTTTAAACCCTCTGGTTTAAATGCTTTAAACCCTCTGGTTTAAATGCTTTAAACCCTCTGGTTTAAATGCTTTAAACCCTCTGGTTTAAATGCTTTAAACCCTCTGGTTTAAATGCTTTAAACCCTCTGGTTTAAATGCTTTAAACCCTCTGGTTTAAATGCTTTAAACCCTCTGGTTTAAATGCTTTAAACCCTCTGGTTTAAATGCTTTAAACCCTCTGGTTTAAATGCTTTAAACCCTCTGGTTTAAATGCTTTAAACCCTCTGGTTTAAATGCTTTAAACCCTCTGGTTTAAATGCTTTAAACCCTCTGGTTTAAATGCTTTAAACCCTCTGGTTTAAATGCTTTAAACCCTCTGGTTTAAATGCTTTAAACCCTCTGGTTTAAATGCTTTAAACCCTCTGGTTTAAATGCTTTAAACCTCTGGTTTAAATGCTTTAAACCCTCTGGTTTAAATGCTTTAAACCTGTGTGGGTTTAAGGTGGTTTTCTTCCGGGTTTTTTGACTACATTTGCAGGCATTGCATGCATTGTGGAATAGCATACAATAATCAGTATGAATCAGGCCCAGGATCAGAAAAACCTGTCCTTCATTCTCACACATCGAAATCTATGTATCATGGCGAACAAAACCGACATTAGTCCTCCAAAACGCAAATTCACTGGATCAGATACTTCCTCAGATTCTCCCAAATGCAATTGTCTGGAAACTGCCCAGTTAAGAAGTGATTTTACATTTTCAGGTTACATTTCGAAAACATTCCCCGACCATGAAATAGCCTCCATCGATTCTCTGGGTATATGGAGCTCGCAAAGAGGCAACTACGATGGTGGTTTCAACTACTTTTACCAAGTTTGCCAATATATGGAGCTTAATATGAACTCTCAAGAGTTTCCCACCTCAGCCTTCTTACATGTGCGATTCGATCTCACAAGATGCTGCCTTGCATTACTCGATCCAACCAAAGCGATAGATTCTCTCACTCCTTGTTTGAACTGGAGTGTCCCATATGGCATTTGTTTCGGTCATGAGCTTTGGGAAACTCTATCCATATTATATACATCCGCAAAACGTCTAAAAGAACACAGAACCAATCTTGACCTTGCTTTCGAAAGTGGGAACTGGTCCGAGGCGATTCAAACAATCAACCAGGTAGCTACTACTCGATTGAAAAACTTCCCAAATGCATCCATCATGCTACCCGGTCAATGGAGTTACTGGAAAGCGGAGGCATTGGCACAAGTTGGAAAAGTTACAGAGTCAAAGGTTGTAATCTCGTGAGTGCAGACCTGCTTCAAATATCCAGTGGTGTATTTTCAAGTCTGAAACAAAGCAACGGTTGACCCAACCTGTTTAAAAATACAGGCAGATGCAAAATTATCACATGCTCAACCTTATGGACAGATTGTGGTTGGAAGCATTGATTTGCCATGGGGAGCGAAAATTAAAGCAATCATATCAGCATCTTGAGCGACTTGCCCTGGAAGGATGTACCCACCCAAAAATACAGTGAGTTTACTCATTCCTTAATAAACTGGGAGCTTCATGCTTACAGAATATGAAACAGAAAACTATTCGACGAGGTCAAAAAGAACCACATGGCAAGAAGCGATACCCACTACAGTGTAAATTTCAATCAATATTTTTCATTTAACTGGTTTGTGACTAATCTTTCCTAAACTGCCAGCTATTGCACGTCTTACCATCCGCAAGTGAAAACAAAATCAAATCGGCGTATAAATGTTTAGCCCTGAAATATCACCCCGATAAGAGTAAAGGAAAAAGTGATATTATGCCAAAAGTGAGGATCCTCCCATTTCATGAAGAAGCAATGTAATCAGGATGATACTTATATTCTTTCAAATCAAATTGCAGCTGAATATTGCACGGGAGATCCTCTTGGATAGCCAAAGAAGACTTCTCTATAATAATACTCTCCGTAAAAGTTATTCATGAAAATGCTGTGATGAATATGAAGAATTACCTTACTCTTAAGAATTTTCACATTATCGATAAGACTTCTCTCAAAATTGATAATTTCTGTTTAAGTTTATTTCACATTTACTATAAAAAGCTTGTGGAACTGCAATGATAAACAGATTATGAGTGCACAAAACATATATTAATATTTCATACTAACTCTTTTTCCATCAAACCATGTACTCGAAATTTGTAAAGGCATGTGTAGAAAGGATTCCCATAATTGGATTTAATTATTAAAAGGACTTTCTTTCTTAAAATAGGAGTGAAGAGGAAAGAATTTAGGTAATCGTGATTATTGAATCGCTGTTCTTGATCCACCCCCATCAGTAAGTATTGTGGGTTTCGGACGTAGTTGAGAACTTCTGGAACCTTGAATTTTTGAACCGTGTCTGTTTTGCTAGGATGATAGATAACGTCCAGAAGTTTCTTACAATCATCTATTGACCAAACTTCAATTTCTTTTGGTGATGAACCTATTTCATACGCAGACAGTGTTGAAATGTGTTCGACTGATATTTCCGTGATAAGAATGTTGCTGGTGAGCTGAACTCCGAGTTGACCTTTTGCTCCTGGAATAGACCAGCACATGCCTGGTTGCATTTCCGGACTCAAAGCAGTCATGGGTCCTCTTCCGTGTATCGCCCTTGGGGCCCCGGTGAAGAAACTGATAAGTGCTGCTTTCCACCCTTCAACTCGTAGCTCGTATGTTTTGGATGTCAGATTGGGGATCACGTTGGCGCCAGCAGTGGACAGGGCAAAGTCTCGTGTTCCGATTTGGTTCCGTGAATACTGAATTAGGGAATTCTTGATCAAAGCTTGGACCTCTTCTATCACCTCTCAACGCTCTGACTGAGAGATCTTGAAGTTTTTGGCATTGTTTGGACAGACATTCTGGCCCAGATGTGTAGAAATGACGTGGACTATAGACTCAAGCTCCTCGATTCTTGAAGTAAGTTGGCCGATCTTCAGTATTTCTGAATCATAAGGTATTATCTGGACATGTTCACCATGGGTGGGGTCTGTGATCATATTGAAAAGAGATGTCAGTGATGTTTACTGACGTAAATACATGGACAATGCTCACTCAACTCTTCAGGATGTTATACCAGTAGAGTAAGCCTATAATCCCAAGACCACTTATCCAAAATTGAGCTCGAAAGAAGAGTGAAAAAAACTGGTTGAGCCTTCTACCCCATCTTGCTCCCAGGCTCGCTCGGTTTGGGTTCATTATGTTGCTAAAGATTTTCAGTATTTTTAGTGGAATGGCAGTTCAGACCTACAGGCTTCCCACAAGGAAGCTCGAGTGAGCGATATATGCAATCAAACCATGGTATATTCAAATTAAAAGATGGCTGCGCGGGGCCTGAATGTGGTCATGTAGTCAACTTGAGGTTAGCATGCAGCTCATCTTAACCTGTCAAACAACAACACCAGCAAATACAATGGGACTTCTTGAAACCTTTTGGACAAAGAGATTCAGACTTTTGGCAATCGGTCTGGCGTACTTACTCTTGGATCAGATGGTTATACGAACCACAGTGAATGTGATCAACAAAATTCATCAGCACCCGCCAATCCTACCAGAATTGCAGCAATATCTCTGCATCTTCAGCAAGCAATATATACTCAACTCCATCCATCTTCGGCCCTTAGATAATTTCTGCGATGTTTCAATTAGATTCCTTCAGATGCTTTTACTTTGTTTAATTTTGGCACCTTTAATCTGTTACTGGTTTACACTTATCTGGTTCAGGCATGAGGTTCGAATTCGGCAGGAGTTATTTGATTTTTACCACGCAGTACTTGGGAGGCATGGGTGATGAAACGTACGCATCTTCAACTATTTTTTGATTCTTTTGACCAAACTGTTTACCTCTTTTGCACCACTTCTCAATTTCTACCAAATATCATCTAGGTGACACGTTAGATAAACTTAAATTTAGGCCAACCCAAATGTGAAAAGGCGTGTTTTTATTCTCTCTACTTGTTACCTGCCTCAAGAAACCTCAATAGCCAAGTAAATGACTGTTTCTGTAGTCAAATCTCTATCATACTCAGTCATGTACTCCGGAGATTGTCTCAGAATGTGCAAAGGACTCCCTGTCAAGCCTCTGAGGTGACTTAGTTGGTTTAGGTATTAAACCTCTTGAAGCATGTAAGGTTACAAAGGGTTGTACTATTTCAAAATCCACTCCGAAGCAACACCATCTAGGATAAATACGGTACCTGTGTGGAGATACATATTTTCATCAAGCAAGTATGAGTTATGAGGATTACAAACAGAAATGAGTAGAAGATTTAATTCACTATTCCGTTGTCCATTGTTGACCGTGATAATTTCCTTGGCGTGCCTCTTCAGGACGGATGACTACCCAGTCGTGCTCCGCATATTCCATACTGATCCGGAAACTTGAATCAGTTTTTTTATTCTTATCATGTAAATGTGTATGTTGGGACTTACTTTTCAAGATTTTTCAATCCAGAGCTTGGTCCCATCGCCTCAAGCTCAAATAAATCCCCATTGTGTGCCGAGTCCAGTCTGACCTTCATACCAATAATTGCGCGAAGGTAACCAGCAGATCGGCCGTAGGTACTGATTTGTTGAAGCAGCTGAGTTGATTTTTCCTCGTGCTTTTTGAAGCTCTCTTCCTCAACCCGTGTGAACGTATTTCCATTATTGAGCCAGTCATCAAAATCCTCGTGGGCGTGTTGAACAGCAATTCTTTCTAGTAAGTTTACAGCATCTCGGACCCGTTTCATTCGGCAGCTATATTCTTCTTGAAGCCATTGCCTCTCACTGGCTGATAGAACGTGAGGTGTCTGTAGAAACTTCGACATACTCCAAGCGGCCGTCCACAAGTCATCCTCTCGAATTGATTGCTGGATTTTGGCAAAGGCGAGTATGCGCTCGTGGGTATTACGTTGAACCAATGCCATGTTGTATAGTAATGATGGAAGCTGGTTGATTGAGCAACAAGTCTTAACAAGAGTATGAATGTGTGCACTTAACCCCACGAGGTCCCAGGCGGTGGGTGCTGCGAGGCTGTGCAGAATTAGGGCAGAATTAGGGCTGGATGACCAAATTTGATGGAATTCTCAATTTGACGGCAAAATTTTCTTTACTTTGTAAAATATATGTATTTATACTATGCAATAAGATATTAAACAATTAAAAAGAAATCAAAATTGTACTTGAAACAAAATTCGTATTCAGTATCTGTTTTCTTTTTTTCCCAACTATTGAATATGCAAATATCAAACCTGCACCAAGTCACAAGGTACATGCAAATACGTCAACAAAATCACTCCTGTTATTATCATACTGCCTATCTCAATAACTCGGTCTCACAAAACAATCTTGTTCAAGAAAATCGACATGTCATCAGAAGACACATCCCTCAAAAATTCCAATCAGAATCAACCCTTCCTCAAAAAGATTGAATCTTCTTTTGACTCATGCTTGAAGATGACCTTGAAAATCATCTTCTTTCCATTCAAGTTGATCCTTGCACGACTACTGGGTTCACTTCTTGCGGTTTTATCTATTGCTATACTCCTATACTGCTCTGGCTCTTTCTTGGAAGCAAATTCTAGCTTGTTCACGTCAGCAACCGGATCCCGTTTTTTTGTCAATTTGTTTCCATCCGTTGGCGCTATCTACTGTTCAGTCTTCCCGGGCAAATCATGCCAAACACAATACTTGCAAAAGAGCAACTCCAAAGACGAAATTGGACGGATTGCCAACACACTTTCAACCACAACGGCCAAAGCATCTGACGTGTTCGAATCCATCTCTCACTTGAGCAATCCAACGAATCTTGAAATCTACCAGACAGAAATCTGGGAGCTTACGTTTGCGATTCGATATTCCAGTAATCTTGAAGAAAAAGATGCCATGGCCGAGGAACTATGGGAATTAGGAGGAATGACGGGAAAACTGAAGGACAGGGTTATTGACCTGAATGGGAAAGCGATTAATTCATTTTCCTCAATTGCACATGAAGTGAGTTGACTTATCTTGCTTGAAATCACTCCAGAGGCTGTCTGTATGCTAACTTTTTGTTTTAAAGTTTTCACGTGTTGGACAAGTAATCCAATTGGTTAATAACAGGAAAACATCCTATTCGATCGATATCGTTCAAAACAATCTGCAGCTAGCATTCTCCAACTTTGATTGGGAGCTGAAAAAATTGATCGATTCAATTGAGGATTCCATCCCTCTTGCATCCCGAGCGGCAAGTCTGGGTCTGCAAGTCTCTGAGAGAATCCACAAAGAGCATTACAAACTCCAACTATTTCAAGATGACCAGCCACTATGGAGGAAATTGATCGATCAGACAAAACGGAGTGGAAAGCAACTGAGGAGAGACCTTAATCTAACGGCACGAAGTATCCAAACAGCAAGGGCTCTACACACCGGCCTGGAGGAGATTCGAAGTGATTTGGTATCTTATCAAAATCATGTCTCATATTTCAAAGTTAGTAATTTCCATTCAAATGATGTCACAGAATTATACTAATGTTTTTTCTTGGAAAGGCTGCAATTTCAGGCTGGCATTTGGCTGATCATGGTCTCACTGCTGAAGATGAACTCGAATCCATGAAATCCACTATCAATCAACTTCGAGACACAATTTCCATGGCCAAGAAAAATTCTAAAGAGAAGGATATCCGAATACCATCTGTTGATTTGTAAAAGATAGCCAAATGCTTTCTGTTGAGTTGTGACATATTTACATAAATATATAGTTACTTTAGCCTTCATGACAACTATTTTATTTTGATTTTGCCACTCTATTTTTGTGAGACTTCTTCTTGCATAACCAGGAAGTTCACCCCCCCCCCATACTTGCTTGTTGAAGAACTACCAAAGAAGATGTCTACTTAAGTGAAGAATTATCATGATAAATCTTCACTTGAGGGTGCATGCCAATTCATATGAAACTGATGAGTATTTTTCCAATTTGAATCCATATTTTGGGGGGAAAGGGCCACAAAGATTTTGTTTTAAGATAAACTCTATGCAGTTTCATTTGGTAATTGCAGAACACCCATCATTCCTGAAGCAAGCTTGGCAAAAGCTTTCAAACCTGGTTAACACACCTTAAACCAGTTAAACCAGGATTTAGAGTAATTAAAACTGGTTAAACACACCTTACACCAGGGTCTAAAATATGTAAGCCTGGTTAAACACACCTTAAACCAGGGTTCAAAGTATGTAAACTTAAACCAGGGTGCTGGTTAAACACACCTTAAACCATGGTTTAAAGTGTTTGGTTGAGTTGTTCAGTTCATTGACCTTTCTTTCACTCCTCAACAACAGCACAATTCAGAGTAGGTCAATAGAACCTTGTGGATGATTGAATCACAGACCACTTTGATTGTATCTCATCAATACAAAAATAGCAAAAACAACACAAGAAAGTATTTAAGAGAAGAAGGAAAAAAAACATCAAGCAAGCAAGCACAATTTATCCTCTAATTGCCGCCCCTACCAGAGGCCGGACTTCCCCTACCAGTAAGCGGAGAGGCACATCGAAACACAAAATTCCCTTGTTTTTTTCATTGAGAATGACTATTCAACCTATCATTTTAAATAAATTTGCGGGCCAACTCAGGCTGCTCCAATTGACCAAGTAACGACGGCTGCTCAACTGCTTTAGCTTGGCGCTTAGCAGATGGATTCAAAACCGAGCTAGCAGACTTGTCTCCAGAACTGACATGAGTCTGCTTGGGCTTGGCTGATCTTGCAGAATTGGACTTGCCTTTGGACGCAGCAGGAAGGGTTGCAGGTTGTACAACTGGACCTGAGTTATTGAGATTGGGCGAGCTTTTTGTTGAGGCTGGAGCCGACTTGCATCTGAAGCTCTTGAATTGCTTCGAAGGGAGTCAACGTTAATAAGTGGAGGGGGCAGCAAGATCGAGTGGTGGACTTACAATCAAGCTGAGCTGTAGTAGTAGACACGGGAGCTACGTGAGGTAGCAATGGAGTAATGAGAGCCACAGGATCTACAGGAGCAAGGAACGGACCTGCAGAGCGGTGCTTCTTGAGTTGCTTGGTGACACTAACGGCGAAGCAAGGCTGATCCTTCGTAAATCTGGTACCAGGGGTGCCCGGAACGAAGCCCAAAGTCTCTGTCATTGATGGAGTTGGGTTAATAGCTGCGGTAGAATGTAGAGATACATTTGCATGAATGTAGTTTGAAGTCTGTGGAGCACCGGTGAGGGGGTTCGAAAGGGAGAAGTTCAAGTGTGGATTGACGGATGAGTTACTGTCTAGACGTGGTTGTTTGTGTGCGCTTGGCCCATTAGGTTCGGTCTTGCACCCGTTCAACCAATCAGGCAAGTCTTCGGTTTTTCGGGGAATGTTGATGCCGCTGTTGTACATCGAAGGAGAAGGTTGTCTCTTGAAGGAAGCAGATGAAGTCCCACACAGAGTCGGAAGCTGAGAGGGTTCGGGGGTTGGGGATTCTATCCAATGGGGTGGAGAAGGGGCAGAGGGCTGTTGATGGACCCAGGAGGCGACACTATCTCTGGTGGATGAGACGAACAGGCAGCCGGATAGTCATCAGGTTTGGAATCCGCTGTGGGATGAGCGGAGGTAGCCGAGACTTGCTGAGTGTCTGCAGAGGAGGAATCGGTCTGCTTGATGTTGGCGATTGAGTCAACTGGGGTTGGCGGGGGAAAATTGATCAAGGGTTTGGGTAACGATGGGTTGAGAGTGGGGTGATTGATGTTGAGATCTGCTGAGGAGGGAGAATCAGAGACGGATCAAGGGCGATTATTGTGCCCCGTCGCAGGAACAACTACACGCTCGTCCATTATCACTTTGAGGTCGACCAGACCTCGTCTGCGGGCCTGAAACTTGAGAGAAAAACTGATAATCGATTCTCGTCAGGTCAATAACGCTTGAATGCAAACACAGAGAAAAACTAACATCTTTCCAAGTGGTTCAAAGATCTATCTAATAAACGCCTCGACCACACCATTTGTAATATTTTGATGGAACGTTCCTTTAATCCAAACAGTCTCAGATCGTACTTTTTGCCAAGTAGGTGGAGGTTTAATCGGAGCGACCGACGTTAGACGCTTGTAGACCGCCAAATGTGCCAGGGCAAGTTGGTCGGAGTGTGGGTTGGTGTTGGATGAGGTTGGATGAGGAGTTCTTGTGAGTATTGGCTGTTTATACTGGAGGGAGGTGCTGGGGAGTAAGGAGGTGGAACAGAGTTCTTGATTGAGGGAGGGATGGATTCATGATTGTTGGAGGCAATGGATTGGAGCAAGGGCACCTTGGATCCTCCCTTGTCTTAGTGCAGCACTTGCTCAGTTGAAGTCACGGCTCTTGATATAGCATCAGGCATCTCAGCTGGATGTTAAGTATGCATTCAAGAGGATCGTGTGTTTCACCTGGACAAGTATTACAGATAAGATCTCGGCAGGCCTATGTTTGAGGATATCTAGATAAAGCTAGCAGAGATGTAGATTGGATGAGTCGATT